AGAGTCAGCAGTATCAGTTTTATTCTGCTTGGTGGTCACCGCTAGAAGAGCTCTCTTTAATTTAAAGATTATTTTTTAATTCATAACTCCTTATTTTCACTTTTCATAGGAAACAGGCTTCAGTATGCTGAGCAACTCTTCCTGTTTTACCACTTAACAAAACAAAAACGACGAAACTTTTCGGTTTTTCAGTGATCTGACTGCATGGTATAGATTTCAAGCGTTCGTCATATCTGTTGTAAAACTCCCCCTCGCCCCAGGAACATGTTTTATGCTTAAGCTGCAACCATCACTGTTTAGTCGTCGTTAGTACCATTATCGTTATGGTACCGATCAATCGAAACGGAGCAGAGTCCTTTATTTTACCTTGAAATTTCAAAGCAACTGGATGCCAAAGTGATGCGCTTTTGTCTTTATTCGCATATCAGTATTAACGTAAATATTCGCTAAAGCTGGAATCCTGTCCGCCAGGATCTCACGAGTGATCTAATTATCCAAGAATCTCTCCCACCGTAACTGAATTTTTTGATTCGAATCCATTCATCTGAACGTTAACCAGGCGTCTACGTTGTCTTACAGTAAACGGTTGGATTCAGAGAGATTTTTTAAAATTTTTCTTTCTGATATACGGGTCGTATTTTCCGGCAGTCCCGTGTGATTATTTGCATCAATAGTTTTTAATTTGATCCCCATTGCTGCTGCTCTCCTGCTTTATTTCTCACTTCACATTCTTGCTTTGTGGTTAAATTGTAGACGAGGTCAATTCTGCGACGTGGTTCTACAGGCAGGCTCAACTCGGTTACCGGCTCATCGAAATGTATTGGCTTCCAGTTCACAATATTTCTATGCCATGTTTACCGGACCCATGGCTGAAGCTCGTTCACCATGCGTACAAATTCAGGGTATTGATGAGAATGCCCTAGTACAGTTAATAGATTTCATTTATACTGGTGGTGAGTTTTGACTTTTTTTTCAAACTTTGGTCAAACGACAACGAGTATTCGTTTCAAGCCCTTCTGTTGCATACTGGTGCTTTCTCTTTACAAGCGATAAACTTTCTTTGCTGTTAAAAATACCACGCCATTTGTCATCACTGTTTTAGCAAACCGGCAAATTTTCGTACTCCTATCTATGCCATCAACGAAGTTGCAGTATCTAGAATTTGTGCGAACACCAACATTTTGCCTGCAGCAAAAACAGCCGGACAATTTCGCTATTTGTTTGGTTCTCGACTGTCTGCATACTCGTAATGCTATGTCATTCCGGANGGACAGCGGTTTTCCCCAGATCTTGACTTTTGCCCTTGGGACAATTTGCGTACAAGCTGATATAGAGTCACCGAATGATTATTTTACAAAACTACATAAAGAGCTCTTTTTCGGTTCACTTAAATGTTAGGTTTATTTCAAATTAGACCTCGTTCAAGTTATCTATCTATATAAGAAGTTACTCGCATGCACCTTCAAATGAACGACCGCGGGAGGTATCCGAATTGTGATGGTTTTAAACGCTTACTGTGGACCGCACGGATACGTTTTCTTCAAACTGATTGAGCCGTGAACCGATCAGCATCTTTTCCGATGTTGTCTGGTCTCCACGTATGACGATCGATGGCTTTCCATTCTAGATACTGTGTTGTACATTGTACTCATTTTATGATCCATCGGCGATTAGCCAGCGTTGTATACAGAACAACAAACAGTTATAAACACCGTAAAAAGAATGTTGTGTTTCATTCGTTCCGTCAGTTTTGCAGGATGCTGTTTCTGTTTATACAACCATTCACCTCGCACTTCAACCTCATGGTTTAGATTTTTATCCGTTCGTTGCCCATTCGCAGTATAGGAAAGATTTAGAATGACGAAAATAGTATCAAGATGAAGATGGAGTGTTCAGCTAGTCTAGGTTGACGACGTCCCCCAACCAAGAGGCCTAACTTCACGTTTACCATCGTTCGAATCATACTCTTCGGATGGTGCTTCTTTGTTCAGAGTGCGTAATATAACATCTCAGTCAAAACGAGTAGATGATCGGACATAACAAGGTTGGGTTGTTCTGAATCGATTACTCTTAACGAGTGAGCGATTTGAGGTTTGGTAATAATCTTATTTGTTTTAATTGCATGCCAAACATTTCATGCGACCAATTTGCTGAAAATTAATAGGTCTTTAATTGTTCTTTCCTATCGCTGTTTACCGTGAGTGTTTGCTTGCCAGTTTCAACTTTTTTTCATATATTTTTCTACGTGATAAACATTCCCCTTTCTTACGCCAAAAGGTATAGAACTCAAGAAAAGGCATACCATCGAATTCCCTATTGATTTTTGGTAGATTTAATTACCTTTTTTCAGTTTCCTCCACATCTCATAGATTGTTGCAATTGATCTGCCTCTATTTTTTACTTGTTCACCATTCTAACCGTGTCCCAAGCGTCAGTTCTCACAGGAAATGACGCATTGACAGCTTTACTCTTCAACGCTTCATACGCGCATAATTCACATTTTCGTCTCCTCTCTTATCCGATTTTGATTTTGATTTTCAACACCACCTCTTTTTGACATGTTACTCGTTTCTCCAGCAAAACACTCTGTCCGTGCATTTTTTGAACATGAATCATGCCTTGCTTCCTCCGTTAGATACTGCTGATCGGTCTATGTTTACCAGACAGCCCCACAGAAGTCCATCGTGCATAGCGATTTCGATTGACCCAACCAAGTACATTAAGAAGTTGCTGATTTTTTGCGGGAAACCGTAAAATATCGAAAACAAAAGAGCAAGCTGGCGAAAAATATCGTTTTGGAGGTTCGTATTCCTGCCAATACATCTCAATATCTACCACTACTTGGGAATAAAATTGTCTTTGGAAAATAAAATAAAATCACACCACAGATTACTAGAAACGATTTCATCGTGAGACCGGAAATCGGATTCCCCACGATCATATATTTGTTTGTCCACTCATCCGATCATCGAGATTACTCGTGATACGGTGTGTGTGAGGTGGGCCAGGGAAGCTATAGTGCCTCCACAAATTGTTTTTGGGCACACAGAGAGGGGTTTTGCAGACGAATCCTAACCGCTTCTGCTGTGAACATGCATCCGACAGTGAACCTGCCTCGATAATCGCCCACGAACTTCGTACAGGCGTCGGAAAGCCTCCGACACGTCCACAGTGTGATTTGTTTCAGCTGCAGTGGTGAGTGACTTGATCGTTCCGGTGTTCTGTCACGCAGGGTCGTGTTCACGAATCCGTTTGGACAATCGCCTGACCGTGTGGCCTATGTACTTTGTTCCACAGGAACTTAACGAGCGTTGTCAACAAGACGACTCAATGTACAGAAAACTCCTAACAAAATATCAACGTTAAGAAAATCTTTGTACATTTCTTTGCCGTTCAAAGGGGACACATCGGTTAAGATCATACAGAGATTATCCGACGCAATCTATGAGACTTTCTGTGCATTCAAGCTGCGTGTGTTGTTCACGTTCAAGCCAATAGTGCTTGCTACTAAAGTACAAAGTCCCAGACTCGGCGGTCTCATTCTGTGTATACGCATTTACTTGTTTCTATGGAACAATGCACGGTCGGGCGATGGTTCGAACGGATTCGTGAACACGACCCTGCGTGACAGAACACCGGAACGATCAAGTCACTCACCACTGCAGCTGAAACAAATCACACTGTGGACGTGTCGGAGGCTTTCCGACGCCTGTACGAAGTTCGTGGGCGATTATCGAGGCAGGTTCACTGTCGGATGCATGTTCACAGCAGAAGCGGTTAGGATTCGTCTGCAAAACCCCTCTCTGTGTGCCCAAAAACAATTTGTGGAGGCACTATAGCTTCCCTGGCCCACCTCACACACACCGTATCACGAGTAATCTCGATGATCGGATGAGTGGACAAACAAATATATGATCGTGGGGAATCCGATTTCCGGTCTCACGATGAAATCGTTTCTAGTAATCTGTGGTGTGATTTTATTTTATTTTCCAAAGACAATTTTATTCCCAAGTAGTGGTAGATATTGAGATGTATTGGCAGGAATACGAATCTCTGAAAACGAGCATGTTCACCACTCTGTTGTTTTGCTTGAAATGTGCTCTATGGGACTATTTCGAAAATT